TGGGGCTGCTCCATGCGGTGTCCGTGGGGCCGGTCCATGGGGTTTCAATGCGGCTGCTCCATGGGGTGTCAATGGGGCTGCTCCATAGGGCTGCTCCATGGGGTGTCCGTGGGGCCGGTCCATGGGGTGTCAATGGGGCTGCTCCATGGGGCTGCTCCATGGGGTGTCCGTGGGGCCGGTCCATGGGGTGTCAATGGGGCTGCTCCATGGGGTGTCAATGGGGCTGCTCCATGGGGTATCAATGCGGCTGCTCCATGGGGTGTCAATGGGGCTGCTCCATGGGGTGTCCGTGGGCCCGGTCCATGGGGTTTCAATGCGGCTGCTCCATGGGGTGTCAATGGGGCTGCTCCATGGGGCTGCTCCATGGGGTGTCCGTGGGGCCGGTCCATGGGGTGTCCGTGGGGCCGGTCCATGGGGTGTCAATGGGGCTGCTCCATGGGGTATCAATGGGGCTGGTCCATGGGGTGTCCGTGGGGCTGGTCCATGGGGTATCAATGGGGCTGCTCCATGGGGTATCAATGGGGCTGCTCCATGGGGTGTCAATGGGGCTGCTCCATGGGGTGTCCGTGGGGCCGGTCCATGGGGTTTCAATGGGGCTGCTCCATGGGGTGTCAATGGGGCTGCTCCATGGGGTGTCCGTGGGGCCGGTCCATGGGGTTTCAATGGGGCTGCTCCATGGGGTGTCAATGGGGCTGCTCCATGGGGTGTCAATGGGGCTGCTCCATGGGGTATCAATGCGGCTGCTCCATGGGGTGTCCGTGGGGCTGGTCCATGGGGTATCAATGGGGCTGCTCCATGGGGTGTCAATGGGGCTGCTCCATGGGGTGTCCGTGGGGCCGGTCCATGGGGTGTCAATGGGGCTGCTCCATGGGGTGTCAATGGGGCTGCTCCATGGGGTGTCAATGGGGCTGCTCCATGGGGTATCAATGCGGCTGCTCCATGGGGTATCAATGTGGCTGCTCCATGGGGTGTCCGTGGGGCTGCTCCATGGGTTATCAATGCGGCTGCTCCATGGGGTATCAATGTGGCTGCTCCATGGGGTGTCCGTGGGGCCGGTCCATGGGGTATCAATGGGGCTGCTCCATGGGGTGTCAATGGGGCTGCTCCATGGGGTGTCCGTGGGGCCGGTCCATGGGGTGCTTGGGTCTAACGGGGCCCTTGCAGCTGGAGGAGACGCTGCAGCTGCGGGCAGAGAGCCGCCAGGGCAGCCTGCGGGGGGACAGCCTGCGCGGCACCAGCATCTGCTCGGCCATGGTGAGCACCGGGGTCCATGGGGGGGGGGGACACACGGGACTTTGGGGTCCACGCGTGTGACCCCCGTCCCGTCCCCACGCGCAGAGCGAGGAGCCCGAGGGCCGCAGTTACTCCACGCTCTCGACCGTGCGGGAGATCGAAACGCAGACCGAGGTCCCTGCGGCGCCGGCGGGGAAGGAGCCCAAGGACGAGGAGGAGGAAGGCGGCGGCGGCCCCGGCGGCGACGACCCCATCAAGCAAGCCATGACCCACTTCGTGCAGGAGAACGGCATGCTCCAAGCCAAGCCCACCACCAACGGCATCTACATCAACGGCCGCGGGCACCTCGTGTGAGCCGCTGCCCATGGAGGTTGTTGGGGGGGGGGGACGGGGGGACGGACACCCCCCCGCCATGGGGCACAGGGTGAGGGACACGCTCCGTGCGCACCCCCTGCCTGCGGGCACAGCGCCGGGGGGCGAGGAGGTGACGGCGGCACCGGACAACCCCCCCCCCCCCCCCCCCCCCGGGTGTGGGGACACCCCAAGGACAGGGGCAGGAGCCCCCCAACAACCCCCCCCCCCCCCCCAAGCCCCCCATCGGACTCTGGGCCGGTTCCTGCTTTGCAGGCGGCACTTGGGGGGCTTCCGTCCCCTCTCCCCTTCCCCCCCCTCAAAAACCCGGACCCCCCAACGCACACCCCCACTCCCCCCCCCCCCCCACCCCACAGAACCCCCCTTGGCAGCCCCCGCTGGGGCCCCCCATGCGTGGGGCTGGTGATGGGGGTCCCCGGGACGCGTGTCCCCGTGTACAGACCCTGTATAGGACGGGGCCCCCCCCCGCTGCTGCGGCCCCGCTTGTAAATAAACCCCTGCGGGCCTTGGGACCCCGTGTCCGACGCGTGTGCGAGGATGGGCACGCGAGCACGTGTGAGCGTGCACGAGCGTGTGCACGTATGGCACAAGCACGCTCAAGTGTGGCACAAGCGTGCAAACATGGCACCAGTGTGCACAAGCATGGGCATGTATGGCACAAGCACGCTCAAGTGTGGCACAAGCGTGCAAACATGGCACAAGCGTGCACAAGCATGTGAATGTATGGCACAAGCACGCTCAAGTGTGGCACAAGCGTGCAAACATATGGCACAAGCGTGCACAAGCATGTGCACGTATGGCACAAGCACGCTCAAGTGTGGCACAAGCGTGCAAACATGGCACAAGCGTGCACAAGCATGTGCACGTATGGCACAAGCACGCTCAAGTGTGGCACAAGCGTGCAAACATGGCACAAGCGTGCACAAGCATGTGCATGTATGGCACAAGCACGCTCAAGTGTGGCACAAGCGTGCAAACATGGCACAAGCGTGCACAAGCATGTGCATGTATGGCACAAGCACGCTCAAGTGTGGCACAAGCGTGCAAACATGGCACAAGCGTGCACAAGCATGTGCATGTATGGCACAAGCACGCTCAAGTGTGGCACAAGCGTGCAAACATGGCACAAGCGTGCACAAGCATGTGCATGTATGGCACAAGCATGCTCAAGTGTGGCACAAGCGTGCAAACATATGGCACAAGCGTGCACAAGCGTGTGCACGTATGGCACAAGCATGAATAAGCGTGCACATGTATGACACCAGCATGCACAAGCGTGTGCACGTATGGCACAAGCACGCACAAGCATGCACATATATGACAGAGGCATGCATAAGTGTGCGCACGTATGGAACAAGCACGCACAAGCATGTGGACGTATGGCACAAGCATGCACACATATGGCAGAGGCGTGCATAAGTGTGCGCACGTATGGCACAAGCATGTGCGAGCATGTGGACGTATGGTACAAGCAAGCACACGTATGGCAGAGGCGTGCGTAAGCGTGCGCACGTATGGCACAAGCACGCACAAGCATGCACACGTATGGCACAAGCATGCGCGAGCATGTGGACGTATGGCACAAGCATGCACATGTATGGCCGAGGTGTGCATAAGCGTGCGCATGTATGGCAAAAGCATGCACAAGCGTACACACGTGTGGCATAGGCGTGCATAAGCGTGTGCACGTACAGCACAAGCATGAATAAGCGTGCGCACATATGACAGGAGCATGCACAAGCATGCACATGTATGGCATAGGCGTGCATAAGCGTGCGCACGTACAGCACAAGCATGAATAAGCGTGCGCACATATGACAGGAGCATGCACAAGCGTGCACACGTATGGCACAAGCACAAATAAGCGTGCACACATATGGAACAATCATGAATAAGCGTGCGCACGTATGACACAAGCATGAATAAGCGTGCACACATATGGCACAAGCATGAATAAGCATGCGCACGTATGACACGAGCACGCACAAGCGTGCACACGTATGGCACAAGCGTGCTCTGCACATGGCCCCGGTGCACGAGGAGCAGGAGCACACGGAACCCACACGGGTGCCCCAGAGCGTGCACGAGCACCACGGCAAGGGCACCCAAGTGTTCGTGTGTGTGTGCATGAGCACCGGTGCTGGTGCAAACACAAGCGTTGGCGTGCGCTGGTGAGCATTGGTGCACACAACATTTGTGATTGTTGGTGTACACGCAACGTTGGTGCTCGCCGATGATTGCTGGTGCACACACAATGTTGGTGCTCATTGGTGAGTGTTGGTGCACCCACGACACTGGTGCACACACAAGCGTTGGTGAACATTGGTGCACACACAGCTCTCTGGTGAGCGTTGGTGCACACATGACACTGGTGCACACACAAGCGTTGGTGAACATTGGTGCACACGCAACTCTCTGGTGAGCATTGGTGCACACACAGCTCTCCGGTGAGCGTTGGTGCACACATGACACTGGTGCACACACAAGCGTTGGTGAACATTGGTGCACACGCAACTCTCTGGTGAGCATTGGTGCACACACAGCTCTCCGGTGAGCGTTGGTGCACACATGACACTGGTGCACACACAAGCGTTGGTGAACATTGGTGCACACACAGCTCTCCGCTGAGCGTTGGTGCACACATGACACTGGTGCACACACAAGCGTTGGCGCTCGCTGGTGATCACTGGTGCACTCACAAGGTTGGTGCTCATTGGTGCTCATTGGTGCACTCAACGTTGGTGTTCGCTGGTGATCATTGGTGCACTCACAAGGTTGGTGCTCACTGGTGATCATTCATGCACACACAAGTGTTGGTGCTCACTGGTGCACCCGCAACGTTGGTACTCACTGGTGATCATCGGTGCACTCACAACATTGGTGCTCACTGGTGCTCATTGGTGCACTCACAACGTTGGTGCTCATCGGTGCACCCGCAACGTTGGTGCTCGCTGGTGATCATGCACACACAAGCGTTGGTGCTTGCTGGTGATCATTGGTGCACCCGCAACGTTGGTGCTCGCTGGTGATCACTGGTGCACTCACAGTGTTGGTGCTCACTGGTGATCATTGGTGCACTCACAACGGTGGTGCTCATCCGTGCCCTCGCAACGTTGGTGCTCACTGATGCACCCACAACGTCGGTGCTCGCTGGTGCTCATTGGTGCACTCACAACGTCGGTGCTCACTGGTGCTCATTGGTGCACTCACAACGTTGGTGCTCACTGGTGCTCATTGGTGCCCTCACAACGTTGGTGCTCACTGGTGCTCATTGGTGCCCTCACAACGTCGGTGCTCACTGGTGCACCCGCAACGTTGGTGCTCACTGGTGCTCATTGGTGCACTCACAACGTCGGTGCTCACTGGTGCTCATTGGTGCCCTCACAACGTCGGTGCTCACTGGTGCACCCGCAACGTTGGTGCTCACTGGTGCTCATTGGTGCACTCACAACGTCGGTGCTCACTGGTGCTCATTGGTGCACTCACAACGTCGGTGCTCACTGGTGCTCATTGGTGCACTCACAACGTTGGTACTCACTGGTGCTCATTGGTGCACTCACAACGTTGGTGCTCACTGGTGCTCATTGGTGCCCTCACAACGTTGGTGCTCACTGGTGCTCATTGGTGCCCTCACAACGTTGGTGCTCACTGGTGCTCATTGGTGCACTCACAACGTTGGTGCTCACTGGTGCTCATTGGTGCCCTCACAACGTCGGTGCTCACTGGTGCACCCGCAACGTTGGTGCTCACTGGTGCTCATTGGTGCACTCACAACGTCGGTGCTCACTGGTGCTCATTGGTGCACTCACAACGTCGGTGCTCACTGGTGCTCACTGGTGCACTCACAACGTTGGTGCTCACTGGTGCTCACTGGTGCACTCACAACGTTGGTGCTCGCTGGTGCTCATTGGTGCACTCACAACGTCGGTGCTCACTGGTGCTCATTGGTGCACTCACAACGTTGGTGCTCGCTGGTGCTCATTGGTGCACTCACAACGTCGGTGCTCGCTGGTGCTCGTTGCCTGCGGTTTGGAGGTGCCGGCAGCAGGAAGCGCTTCGCGGGCGGCCGCCACCTTCCTGCTGCGCCCCGGAGCCAGCAGAGGCCTCGCGGCTCCCCCGGCCCCGGCACTTCCTCCCTAGGGCTCTTCCGCCCGCTGCGCCCCGGGCGCGGTGCCGGTGCCGGCCATGGGCAGGGGTTGATCGCAGCCATGTCGCGGCACAAGGCGAGGCGCAAGGGCGGTGCCCGCGAGCGGGTCTTCGGCTGCGACCTCCTGCAGCTGCTGCAGCGCTCGGGGCAGGACGGTGAGCGCGGGGGCACCGGGGGTGCCGGGGCTGGGTCTCGCCGCGGTTGCGTCACCGGTGCCGCAATCGGGCTCTTCCGGTGAGGGCCCCCTCTGAGGTTCGGGGGTCCCAGAGTGGTCCAGGGTGGGCCAAGGATGGGGATGGGGGCTTTGAGGGGTGATGGGGCCTGGTGCTCGCCCCCCCCCCAGTGCCGCAGGTGCTGAGGAGCTGCACGGAGTTCGTGGAGCAGCACGGGGTGGTGGATGGGATCTACCGGCTCTCCGGGGTGTCCTCCAACATCCAGCGGCTGCGGTGAGCGGGGCCGGAGGGGATGGGGATGGCGATGGAGCGGGTGGAGAAAGGATGGAGATGATGGAGACAAGAGTGGAGGGGATGGAGACAATGGAGACAGGGAGAGATGGGATGGAGAGGATGGGGACAGGAGTGGAGGGGATGGAGCTGGAGCAGTTGGGATGGAGATGATGCAGCAAGGATGGAGCTGGAGACAAGGGTGGATGGGATGGAGATGATGGAGAAATCATGGAGACGATGGAGACAGGAACAGGAGCAGATGGGATGGAGCTGGAGCAGTTGGGATGGCGATAAGGGAGAAAGGATGGAGATAAAGGGATGGAGATCAGATGGAGCCGGGACGGAGCTGGAGACTGGACTGGGTCAAACAGAAGGAAGATGGGAATGGGATGGAGACAGGAGCTGGAAGGAGG